TTTGTCGCAGAAAGCTCGACATAGGGATAGTGATCCGGCGGCGGCGTCATTAGCTAACTTCTTAAAAGCTTTATATTTAATAGGCTAGAAGACCTGGATGCTTCATACTTTGTATATAGATGCCTTATGTTACGAAGTTTCCGTCTGTCATATGTCCATTGTCCTTGACCTCATTTTCATGGTTCAGTGACTACTTGAAAAAAAAAAGTCAACATTTTTTGTAATGTTAATTTCTTTCTTATTATGAGTAAAAGGATAACTGTATTTAGTATGTGCGTACCTTGCAAGGTCCTCATGCCTGTCAGACAATTTTCATTTGACCTCGACCTCATTTCATGGATCAGTGAACAAGGTTAAGTTTTCGTGGTCAAGTCCATATATCAGATACTATAAGCAGTAGGTCTACTATATTTGGTATATGGAATGATTGTAAGGTGTACATGTCCAACTGGTAGGTGTCATCTGACCTTGACCTCATTTTCATGGTTCAGTGGTCAAAGTTAAGTTTTTGAGTTTTGGTCTTTTTTGTCGAGCCTTCGACTTTTGTCGAAAAAGCGAGACATAGCGATCCTACATTCCGTCGTCGTCGGCGTCGGCGGCGTCCACAAATATTCACTCTGTGGTTAAAGTTTTTGAAATTTTAATAACTTTCTTAAACTATCCTGTATTTCTACCAAACTTGGACAGAAGCTTGTTTATGATCATAAGATAATATTCAAAAGTAAATTTTGTAAAAAACAAATTCCATTTTTTCCGTATTTTACTTATAAATGGACTTAGTTTTTCTGCCAGGAAACATTACATTCACTCTGTGGTTAAAGTTTTTGAAATTTTAATAACTTTTTTAAACTATCCTGGATTTCTACCAAACTTAGAAAGAAGCTTGTTTATGATCATAAGATAGTATCCAGAAGTAAATTTTGTAAAAAAAAAATTCCATTTTTTCCATATTTTACTTATAAATGGACTTAGTTTTTCTGCCAGTTAACATTACATTCACTCTGTGGTTAAAGTTTTTAAAATTTTAACAACTTTCTTAAACTATCCTGGATTTGTACCAAACTTGGACAGAAGCTTGTTTATGATTAAAGGCTAGTATCCAGAAGTAAATTTTGTAAAAAAAAAATTCCATTTTTTCTGTATTTTACTTATAAATGGACTTAGTTTTTCTGCCAGTTAACATTACATTCACTCTGTGGTTAAAGTTTTTAAAATTTTAACAACTTTCTTAAACTATCCTGGATTTGTACCAAACTTAGACAGAAGCTTGTTTATGATTAAAAGCTAGTATCTAGAAGGAAATTTTTACTTATAAATGGACTTAGTTTTTCTTCCAGTTAACATTACATACAGTCTGCAGTTTAAGTTTTTAAAACATTTATTAGATTCATAAACTATCCTGGATTTTTACCAAACTTGGACAGAAGCTACTTACAATCAAAAGATAGTATAGAGAGGAATATTTTTATTAATTTTTTTTCCTCATTTTTGCTGAGCCTGTGATTAACAGCAAAAAGTAGGCGAGACACTGGGTTCCGCGGAACCCTTACGAATTTTTTCTATTACTATATGCAATAGGTCAACTATAAATGGTGTATGGAAATATTTTATGATGTACATGTCAGTCTCACAGGTTTTATTTGACCTTGACCTCATTTTCACGGTTCATTGGTCAATGTTAAGTTTTCATGGTTTAGTTTGTTTCTTAGATACTATAAGCAATAGGTCAACTATATTTAATGCCTAAATTGATTGTAAGGTGTACATGTCTGTCTGGCATGGTTCATCTGACCTTGACCTCATTTTCATGGTTCATTGGTCAATGTAAGTTTTCTTGGTTAAGCCAAGACAATAACAATAAGCAATAGGTGAACTATGTTTGGTTTATTGAATGATTGTAAGGTGTACATGAATTTCTCGTTTGGTTTATCTGACCTTGACCTCATTTTCTTGGATCATGTTAAGTTTATGTGTTACTTGTAATAAAGCTTTGTATTTAGGACTATAAACATAAAATCAATGGTTAGTAAAGAAGGCGAGACATTTCAGCGTTAGCACTCTTGTATTTGATAGTTAGAACCGGGACATAATATTTGCGAATACGAATCCCAGGTTACATATCGATTATAATCATTTGGTAATCACAATATTGATTATTATAACACATACATAAATAAAAATAAATTGTGTGTCTTGCGGGTCGAATGTGATATATCAGAAAAACCAGGTGCAATTTTATCAAACTCATAGAAATTTCTGAAGTCATGCAAACCTATAATGAAGCAGTCCTAAAATTCAACAATCTTCTAACCCGATGGTCCTATATTCGACAGCCTGTTTTCTCCGGCGCGTGGTTACTTACATCTTCTGAAAAAAATATACCTATAGACATGTATACCGTTTGATGATAAACTTTTTCCTAGGGCACACAAACGATTTTTTTGCTTGTGGTTCGACTCTCGTATACTGCTCAAAATTGAGTGACGTTTTCGTATCACTTTTGTCTCCACATGAATTGCGCTATATGCTATCAGTGCGTCAGGCCATATGTAGACTCAACTTTGCAATTAAATTGGGCCGAAGAAGTTTTGAACTTTCACGGCCCATGTTATCATATAGTTATTTTAGGTGTTCAATTCCAATTTCTTTTGTAGAAAAATTACTTGACATGAAACTACTAGTATGCATAGTATAACCGGTACGTGCTTAAAAAAAATGAATGTCATTAAACCACAAAAGGCTCCAACGTGTAAATTAAAAGCAATGATTAGAATTATGTTTTAAAAGCGTCATTTGGTGTTTTGCCAATTTCACCCTCCCCACCACCCCAAAACAGAGGTCTCGTATATTTTCATCCTGAATCTGTATTAGACTCCTTTATAAGTCCCCGATATATATAATACAGTGAAATACAGAATTACAGTATTACATTAGGGATGTATATTGGACCATCCGACTAAAGTGAATATATACTTTAAGCACACATTCCTTCATATATGGACCATTAAGACGAGGTTTATAGAGAAGTACCCTTAATAGTAAGTTTTGCTGTGATTTGTCTATGGATGCAGCTGTTTGTAAAACCTTTAAGTTTTTCAGCAAGAACTGGCACCCAGGAATAAAATAGTTTACTAGCCTTACTTTTCGAAATATGAAAGCACCGTCCCAAATAACCAAACATCAAACTAAGTGTTAACCTTTAAATCAGTACGATCGAGCAACAGCTGATCTGCAATATCGTAGTTGAAAAGTAAATTGTGTATTTATTCCACTAAAGTACAGAAAACTTAGTTACATAAGACAAGTATACAATAAGGCGTAACTGTCATTCATAATATGTCTATTTATACACTGACGTGGTTTCCTGATTTTATTCAATTTTGAACTCCTTACTCCTCCGTTAACAATATGTTTGTCTGAGTTAATGTTGTCGGAACGTCTGTCCATTTTGCAGCCTAAAGATAGTCATGTATAAAAAAAATCGTCTCTTCATACTTGTTTGATTTGCATCCAATTATAACTACATGCATGTAGCCTCGGGGTAGGTTTCATTATTATTATCTAAAGAAATGTGCACGAACGGATTTAGGGGGTGCCTAGGCCCCCTTATGAAGCTTCATTCATGGTTAATTCAGACTTTTTACCGCTTCCACTACAAATTGTGTCTTGTTTGGGGACCTGCGGCCCCCTTTCAAAATCCTGGATCCATCTAATGTGTAGATCTTCTATACAAACAGAGGCAGATGCACTGTAGTCATCGGATTAATTTTCATAGATAATTTTGTTTGACGACGTGTCAACGTTCGTCTGCCAGTGTAATTTTACTTTCATAAAAAGTTTTATTAAAAAAAAAGGATTGTGTGCAATCGGCACAACTTGTATAGTTCACATATTTTATTTATTGATTTTTTTTTGCACATCTGAAATTTTCTACAATTATTTGGACAAATATTAACTGCACAAGAAATGCCTCCACCTTTTCTTTTTATAACTTTCGCCAGTATCCATTGTGAAATAAATAAGAAAATGAAAGAAATACAAATGTAATCAGAAAATCGATAATGTTTTGATCAATACACGAGCGTTATTTTTCATGGTTGTAATGGCGGATCGGTCACGTGAGAGGTTAATGGATGCGGCCATGTTTTCTAGGTCAATTATAGATAAACCCGTTTATAGCTATAAAACAATGTTAAAAAGATATTTGTCAAGACATCAGCCAATGACTTGTTTTTCATCCTTTTACGGTATTGCTAAGAAATACTGGTACTTTAAAATGTATGTCAACAAATCACTTTATAACAAAGAAAAAGAAATATTCTATACATTATAATTATAATGCTGAGTTAATTATAATTGTTTTGCATTAAATATTATTTCAATGTTCATGAGTAATGTATATTTCTTTTTCAGATAACTGTGGCTGCATAAAATGGTTGTGTGATATAACTGCAACAGTAAAGAATGTAATTCAGACTATTTTTGTGTATGCTTGAGAAAATGTTTATAATTTTTTTACAAAAAAAAAAAAAAAAAAAATATGTAAAGATTCTCCATTTTCAACAAGATTGGAAGTTGTAGGTTAACTTGTATTTGACAGTACAAAAATTCTTTCTATTTCCGTTTATACTCATGTCTAGTCAAAACACTTCCAGCAGTTTAAGAATGGATAATCTAAAAGAAAAAGAAAGAAAAAAGAAAAAAAAAATGTGTGTTTTTTTTTTGCTAATTGTTATGTATATATTTTTGCCATCTTTTTGTTATTTTAGGATTTGAGATACTTTCAAATTTTACAAGTTACTTTATACATGTAGTTAATGCAATTAAATCTGCCGATGTGAATATTCCCACTAAATTTCTTAGCAAAAATTTTAATTATTTTTGTTTTTTTTAGCAACGTTTCAAAATACCTTACCATAGCAAATGTCTCTCTTGTGTAAACTAAAAAGACGAATAATGGTCTGCCGTAAATATATTCCCTTACAACCTTTTCTTTTATGTTAATTTTGATATCTTTAAGATATGTGACAAGGGTGCTCTAATGCAGAGGAATTTACGAAGTTAAGAAGTTGAAAATATATTTTGTGCACTTTTTTTGTCATTTTTAGCTGATTTTGGTTTGTAACCAAGGTGATATTTTTTAAAGAATAATTTTACAAAAGGCATAGTTGAAGAACATCTTGTTGAAATTGGATTGGTTGATTTTTGGTGTTAAAAACCACTTTAACATGATTTACTATAATTTTGGCTGTAAATTTTTATTTGTGGAGACAGCCAGAGTGCCTGGTGAAAACATCACCTTCATCAAGGAAACAGGCAAACCCTAGTCAAATTAAGAATGAAGTTACACATTTCATGTGAGGGTTTTCAGTGTTGACAGGCTAGTGATACAGTAGTTGAAGTACTTATAGGACCACTCTGCCACCATAAGTAAATATTTTATTGAAATGTGTTAGATTTTTGTTGTCAATCTATTTTTTAATTTTAATTGTACTATTTTATTTATTTTGTTTAATATAACAAGGATGTGGAGTCCGAACAGGGTGAAATTTGGGTCAAAGGGAGGCAATTTATTATACCCCTGTTTAACTCCACATACTTTAAATTCCCTCAATGTTAGGATTTTCATCTACTTGGATATTCATGTTTGTACATTTTTTTTTAATATCAGATGTATACTAGCTAATATTGACTATTATTTAGAGCTCTGTAATAAAAAAAAATAAATGTAAGCAGAGCTCTAGATAATAAGTATGCAGGGTGGGAGAAATCTTGGGTCATTAACAATTGATTTGCTGAAATTTTCTAGAAAGGGGATTTATTGGAAATGCATCTGATATATTTAATGTATAAAACTATATTTAAAAAAAAAAGATGTTAAGATGATGAGGAGAGCCACCTTGTCAGCCGGGAGAGCAGCTCTAAGGGAGATGGTCAATTTAATCTTCACCAAGTCTGAGGCTTTACCATGAAAAATATGTGGTAAGTTTATATATTCCACAAATTTTATGGTAATAATATATATATAGGCATTAAACATTATTTTTTAAGGGTTCTTTTCTATCAGTGTTTGATTTTTAGAGTATCTAGTCTTACATTTGTTTTCTGTCTGGTATTGAGTGAGCTGTGTTGGATAGAAACCAACTGTATGCAAGTTATTATCAATGAATTTGTAAACTTATTTGGGTCGAACAAATTTTTATGCAAAGTCTGTAACTGTTTGAATATTGAATTGATATAGAATCATTTTCATAAAAGCGTGGACAAGACGATTTCTTGGCCCTCTTATGTTATCTATTGACTGGGTCAGATAAGGTGAAAGTTTGTAACGCCCACTTGTCACATTGAATGTGTTATAGACATTTAAACTGGGGTCGCCAAAGGTTCTAAAATACCTACATCAAATAGTACGAATTACTAGCAGAGGACTAAACCTTGTGTGTTGATTTAAATGTTGAATAATTATTTTCTTTTTTTCTTCTCTTGTGCCTACATGTACTTTGCTCTTTTATTCTATTTAAATCTCTATTGGAAGGCCTCTGACAGACTGAGTGAGCGTAAAATCACTGTTATCGATAGCCAATGGCAAACAAGTTAAAGGTACTGTAAATTCAGAAATTATTGCGTGCAATTATTAATAAATAAATTTGGTGTATTTACTGTCTTCTGATTGGTTAAAAGTATTACTTTTATTTTCAATGTTGTCAATTTTTATGGCGACACGCCACTCTGACGTTGTATATTCATACGCCAACATCTGTGTACGTTGTTATGGTTAATATAAATAATATTAAACGTTCTTTGAGCCTTATTTTTGATAGAAATTTATTTATAATGAGTGGCTATAATTTATTTTGAATTTATTGAACCATAAAATTAATTTTTGACTCTTCACATTTTACATAATCCGCTGCTCGGATTATTCAATGTGAGGAGTCAAAAATTAATTTTATGGTTCAATAAATTCAAAATAAATAATAACCATTCATTAATTGCGATTTTGTAATTTTAGACTAAAATGCGATTTTAATTTTTGTGATATTGAGAAAAATCCTGTTTAATTCATATAAAAAATTTCTCAAAATGCTAGTTAAAATTATTGCCAATACAACCATGTTGCATTTTTCGCAATAATAAAAACATTGCAATAGTTTCTGAATTTACAGTAATTGAGTTAGTATTATCACCAACATAAGTATTGGGGTTGTCTACGCTGTTATGAAAATGATTTTAAGAACCATCAAAAGAGAACAAAACCATCCGATTTTGTAATTGAATATTCCAAAATCATTGTCTTATACATATACGTGCACTTGCACAAGGTCAATTTCTATCTCTAGCAGTTTTAAAGTTTATATAGTGAAGATGATAATGTATAACAGGTTTTAATAAATTAAACATAGCATTATTTTGTTAGTCTTCTTAGAGACAGATTGATCTGTAAAACAAGTAATTATTTTTTTATTTTTTTTATTTTTAGGTTGTTATAATGATGATGTTTTCATGGTGTTGGGAGTAAGACTTGGATGTCTGATATTGTTAACATGTTGGTAGGTAATCAAGCATCTTTTTAGTAATATAATATTTGAAATCAATTTCATAAGGTTCTTTAGTACCAAAAAAAATATTTTACACTGATTAGATACCGGTTGAATTTTTTTGGTAAATATAAAACTGAGTTTATAATTATAGATCAGAATACCAAATATTTTTTCCATGATTTTTTTTTATCCTAGTGCAATTTTAAATTTAGAACGTGTAATAATTTTTTTTTAGGAAAGTATAGTATAACTGACTACTTTTATATTCCAGGTTAGCATCAGGTTTCCATTGGGTTACTTGCTGGGATAAAGCTGTTATAAGGTGAGAACTTATTCATCAACTTACAACTTTAATGTGTTTATGTTATTGTGTGATGAATGTCACTAAATAGATTTCAATATATATATTTTTTTTTAATTTACAATTAAAAAAAATCAGTATTCAATCTTTTCATTTTAAAATAATGTACCCTTTAAAGCAGATACTAGATCTGAAGAAGATATATGAAGGGGAGATAACAATAAAATCGGATATTTTTGATACTATATATTTTTGAGTACAGGTAATCAATATAAGTAATAAACAAATTGTTTAACATACACTGATGTCTGTTTCTTTATTCCCGTTAGATTATTTTAAAATTAAGAATCAACAATTGAAATTTAACTTTGTTTCTTTTTCAGTCGAAAGAGTTGCTGTTGCTGCCTTCCTTGTATGGTAAAATCTTCAGACTACAATTCTGCAAACCATTGGATGAACTGTTGCTATCTTTTGTAAAAAAATCAGCAGAATGAATAATAAATGCAATTAATTATTCAAATTATAAATATTTATTTCATTATTTTTTCTTGCATTCAATTATTGTTTTGTGATTGAAGAAACATAAAAAAAAAAACTGTGAAATTATTGTTATTTGAGAGGTCCCAAAGGTATGATGTATGGTTTCACAAGATACCAATAAGACTTGCTTCAGTTTACATATATTTTTTAAGTTATGTACACTGGTTAAGAATTATAAGTCCTTTGTGAAATGATTTTTTCTGGTTAGAAACCTATTAAGTAGGACTTTGATGGCCAAACACTAAAAGGGAATAAAACAAATCCCCTATTAAACAATTTAAGTACTAAGTTTTTGGTGCAATATGAACTAGGAATAAAAATGTTTAGTTAGATGGTTTGTTTTGACTCTGCATTCTTTACATTCATACAAATTAATGGCTGTCAGTTTTATTTTTTGGTTTTGTTTATATATTATAAATGCATTATTCAGCATCTGAGACCACTCAAGTGAAAATAATTACATAGTTTTTGCAGTTTGTCATATTTTCTCATTTTTGTGTGATTGATTTCTATATTTTTTCTCATTTATGATTATTTATGTTTTAATGTTTGATTTTTGAGGCTTGTACTCAGCTTCTAAACAATTACCCCCCCCCCCCTCCACATGTATAACCAGAATCCTGTAAAAGAAGTTTTGATTTTGAAGGATGGATGGATAATTAAAAATGCAAGATTTTTTTAATGTGCTAGTTCATAATGTAAAAGTCTGCACAAGACATCTAACCCTACCTGAACACATTATTCTGACCTCCAGCTGACCAGTCTTTGCTCCTATTCCTAATTGCTGAATGCTTAGCAGGGGAGCATCAAATACCAATTTTCAATTCTTTGATATCACCCAGGGCAGGACCAAATCCCATGCCCATCTGCACTCATGTTGAGCATAAAAAGGTTATTAAAGAAGATTTGTCTGTCTGTTTGTCCATCATCATCTCTCATCCACAGCTTATAAACTATTGGAAGGTTTTTCATTTAAACTTTCAGATTATCTTCTGTATCTAATGGCTGTGTGTATTTTATTTTATTATAATGAAATTTTGGGGTTCTCAATTGTAATGAATGGACCTCCTAAGTATTTAAAAAAAAAGGGAAAGAAGCTTCTCATACCACCATTTTATCATGTGAAGGATAGGTTGGTTCAAATATATTTGTTTTAAATCATGTTTTTAGTAGTTGGATCTCATTATGACAAAATTTAAATGACTTAAATTCAAAATAAATTTGGGGTTCACACTGATATATATTACCACTGTAGCTTTAATGTAAATTTTATAAGGCTTTACTATAACAAGATTTGTGTTTTATCTTGTTTTATCTGATTTTAGTGGTTTTTATGTGATTTTATTTGTTTTTTACTGTCAAATCTTGTTATACCAAGCCTTAGTATGGTTGAGTTTATATATTTTGATTATACATGCAATTCAAAATATAAATTTACATAATGAGATCAGACAGTTATTATGCTTTTAACTCTTCTTAGTGGATAAAATAGAAAAATGAATGAACATAAATATTGAAGTGGTCGTTGAAGATTGACCTAATTACAAGATTTATAAATGCAGAATCTTGCTCTAACTAAATTTATGTTCTTATCAGCTGAACCCACCTATCCTTCAATATGAGTAATAAAATTTTATATATGGAAAAGTCCATTCTTCGATTGGGGAACCTTTGGATGTGAAAAAAATATACACAATGCCAACAGATACTGAAGATTATTTGAAAGTTTAGGCAAAAACAATTCAATCCTTTGGGATTGGAAGTTGTAGACGGATGAGCAAACAGATGATATACTTGCTTACTATGGCACATTTCCTAAAGGATATGGACTATGGGTATGGGTTTTGCTCATGGTTGAAGGCTGTAGGTGACTGATAGTTGTTAAATTCTATGTCATTTGGTCTCTGGTGGAGAGTTGTCTCGTTGGCAATCATATCTCCTCTTTATTTTATATGAAATAATTACTTATTACTTCCTGGGCAAAAAGTTCTGATTCCAAGAAAATAATAAAAAAAAATACTTATATCATACATGTATTGTTAAATAACTATCCTACTTTGATATAAAGAATTGACTTTGGTTAGAAATTGGGAGGAATTATAAAGAAACTTTATATACAATATAAGAGCTTGGGGTTATAAATGTTTAATGAAATGCAGTTAACTATTTCCTTGGTGATTAATAATTTTTGCACAGATCACGATATTAGTTTATTGAAATGACCCAGTAAATAAATTGAGTACACCTCATAAATGAATTTGATTCATGTATTTTTATGCATTTTTTATCTTAGTATTTACCATTGTATTCCTTGTTATATTTGTAAATGCCTCTTCGTATGTGACAAACTGAGGATTCATATATTTTATGGAATTATATAAATTTATTTTAAGATTGGTATTTAAAAGTATTGGAAAGCTCCAAGTTTAATAGTGAGCAAAAAAAATTATTCCTTTAAGACCTAAGGATATTAAAATTTAAGACATGTATCTCAGAACAGAATTGATTTTCTAAATTCTATTGAAACAGCTAGTCTGGGAACTGGTATCAAGAAACTAAAAAGAATCCTCAGCTCTGTCAGTTATTTTGTATAATTGTAATATTTAACCAATGATACCTTACCCATGATGCAGATCCTTTTCCTCCTTTTACTTATAAAGGGACTAAAAACTTATTATTATTACAATTTCTTTGGTTTTTTTTGTACACACTTGATGGAGCAGAATGAGTCTGGTTTCATTTGGGTATTTTATATTATGATGCATGATAATGATATAAATAAATAGGTAAATAAAAATTTAATTGAGAAAACCTATCTTATATTTTATTTGAGTCTGAATGACAAATAAAGGGGGAAGAGGTTTCTGTTGTCAAGGGTAACACACAGCTGATTTATTGTATGGTATGGACGAAGTTGAAAAAGCGAGACTTGGGCATGCTTTTTCCATAAGCAGCAGCTTCAACAATGTATTTGATTGTGATAAGTTCAAGTTAAAGAAAACAACTAGTGGTAGGTCAATGATATTTGGTATGCAGTTATATAAGCATTGAAACATCTTATTTCTAAGGAGATTATTTTGCTTCTCTCCCTCAGTCATAGTCGACTTAAAACTTTTAATTAGTTTACATGTATAAGTTTGTGATTAGGTCAATTGAAAGGGAACTATAAGTGGTATGTCAATGATATTTGGTATACAGATGTATAAGCATTGACAAATCTCAGTTCCATAGAGATTGTTCAGCTCCAGCCTCAGTCATGGTTTATTGACTGAATGTTTTGCATTATTTACATGTGATTAGATCAGTTTAAGATGAGTGACTAATATCTGATATTTGGTATGCAGTTATATTGGCATTTGCAAGTCTCATTTTCATAGAGATTATTTGGTCCCACTTCCTTATCATGGGTCATGGACTTTGAAACTTTCAGTTTAACAAGGAACCAATTGATAGGTCAATGGTGTTGGGTATGCAGTTTTATAAGCATTAGCATTTCCATGGTGTTTTTATTTTGCCCTGAACCGTCAGTCATGGTTCATTGCATAGATAACAAGTTTAAATATTGCAATTTTAATTTCAACATTTGCATTATACCACCAAAAAACGCAAGACACATCTCTGTCAACAGTTTATATTTCCATCTCTTTGGTATCTTTCAACATCATATTTTGAGTTTTAAATGTCACAGAAACTTCTTTGCTAGTTTAAACAAGACTTGACACAAATGATACTTAGGAATTACATGACAGAAATGTTCATTGGACTTGCTGATTACCTGATTGGCTGCCAAGTCTTAAAATAGATCTAGAATTCTAAAATAATCTAGTTTATATAAAGGCTCATCAGATACAAAACACAGGGATACAGATCTAGCAGTGGATGCTCCTGATATAAAACTTCATAATCCAGACTGAAGAAGAATGAGTTAATCCATATCTTGTATGCAGTTGCCTTATGGTCTGGTTTAATCTGGCAAAATCTAGCTGTCAGTAACTGCTAGTACTCTCAGATCTGTACTTAGTGTTAGCTGTCAGTAACTGCGAGTACTCTCAGATCTGTATTTAGTGTCATTTGTCAGTAACTGCGAGTACTCTCATATCAGTACTTGGTGTCAGGCATAAAACTGGCCGTAAATTTTATCGTTTTAATTGTTTTGCATTTGTCATTTCTGGGCCTTGTATAGCTGACTATGCGGTATGGGTATTGCACATTGTTGAATGACGTACGATTTCCTATAGTTGTTTTAAAACTATGTCATTCGGGGTCTGGTGGAGAGTTGTCTCATTGTCAATCATACCGCATCTTCTTATTTTTATATGAAACTAACTATATTTTATATGAGATAAATGTGGCGGTAATGTATTTAATTTAGTAATTGTAATACAAAATATATGAACAAATTCGATTAATGTGTCACTTACTGGAAAGATAAATAAAATTACAAACTGTCGATTTTAAGCTATATGTACAATTGACGATAAAGTTCAACATTATTAGCCTCCCTTTTCATTTCATACGGTAAAAATCTGTGTATAGCGTAAGCTTGTTGTTTGTCAAATATAAGAAATTCATATTTGTAACACAAACCAGTGTCGTAGCTACCTAAGGCTCGACTAGGCACGTGCCTATACATAAATTTGCCAATTAGAGGTTCCCGATCTAACACTTTAACATTCTACACAGAAGACAGGCGCTAGGTTTTCAATATGATGGACATTTTGTTCTAAACAATAAGTATTATTCATACTTTATTAAACGTCACAGAATCTGACCTGCATGCACACAGAATATGAATATGCGTCGATTTTTTCTCAATTAATGTGCTGCTTAACTCTGCTTGTTATTTTCCGTTTATTTGCACATCTTTCTCAAACAACCATTAATTAGACTTATCACCTGGTTTGTACTAATATGACCCGACAATTGTTCGTTCAAAGTTCACATTTAGGATTTTGTAT